TAGTTAAACGTTTGACCCAATAAGATTTTGACACTTGTAATATTAAGTATTTCAAAATTTCAATTTTCTTAAATTAAATTAATAGACAAATTTGATAATAGGCTTGTTTAGTGCAATGTGCCTTATCTTAGGTTTAAAATAGATAATAAAAAATCATGGGCTAAAAGTATTCAAAAGTATTTATTCATAATTAGTTTTTCTTTCAAGTTATTTGAAATCATGAGTTATAAGTAAAAATCATACCAAATATTTTGCTATATATTTTTAATTTTTTTTAAAAACTGAAAATCAAAAAAGAAGAAAAAGAAACTATAAGTAGATCATAAATTACACCAAATGGGGCTGATATCATAGAAATTTTTAATTGTTTTTATTATCATGACATGAATAAAAGAGTAAAATATCTAAACATTAACCCCTAAAATTGTGCATATCAGAGGAAAGTTATGATTTTTTGTAGTAAAAATTATAAGTATTTATACTGTGCTATGTCACTTTGTGGTAAAATTACAAATAATGAATTTATGATGTTCACCCTCAAGTTGCGAATGGAATAATTATGATTTTTTTTTTTTTGGTCAGAAAAGTCATGATATTTTATTGTAAGAAAATTTATGATATTTTGTAATTTATATTATGAAATGTTGTGAAAAAAAGTTAAGAAAAACGTATATATGCTTTCTAAAAATGTTATAATATGTGAAGTTTAACTTGAGATTTTAGATAAAGTAGGAAATGAATGATTTTTTTTATTCACTGATAGCACCTTTAATTTTGAAATATAGACTATTCAAACATAGGTTGTTTACTCTAAATTGAGGTTTTTATTTTTATTTTTATTTTTTTTATTTTTAATTGAGTTGAGACCGATAGTTTCAATTCGCAAATTTTGAGCATTTAAAAAACTTGGCGAAGATAGTTTTTTTTTTAAACACAAAAATTGAATATATTTTAATAGATGTTTTATACTATTTTTCAATATATAAAAATTAAAAAATATACATTTTAACTTCTCGAAACTCTTATTCTTAAAACCTCATTTTTTAGTAATATAAAAACATGTCAATTTTCTCAACTCCTTTGGATATCGTATACGTATATTATTTAAAAAATGATTCATTTACATAATTCATCCTCCCTCCAAATCTTTTCAAATGACATGACAAGTAAATTTAAAAAGTTAACTCACACTTTAATATTTTTTCAAAATTCTCTTTAAATATATATATATATATATATATTGTGTCTCGCTATCTCATTTGTAGGGATTGTGGGGGAAGAATTTCCCACAAATAAGGTGGCAACCAAATTTTCAAAATTTGACCCACACTCTAATTTCTTATTTAACCCTTATATCTATTCTTTAGTGACTCATATTTTTACAAAATAAATAGCAATTAATAAAATCTCACATATTTATTTTAAATTATACACCACATGATGAGCATCAATTCGCGCGCGTCACACTCACCAGAACTTTTTAAAATTCTTAGCCTTTAGTTTAAAATATCAAATTCCTAAGGGTTCGTGTTGGGAGTGGGTTGACTTTTTGTGACGATCCTGACCTCCAAACTAGTACATATATGATTTAAATGAGTTTAGTTGCATGATTATATGTTTAATTGTGTGATTACATGTTTAATTCTATAATTATCTGTTGATATATGGAATATCTGTTTAAATTGACAACTTAGAGTCGGAAATTAAAAGCCCAAACGGCTTCAGAAACTGAAAATGACTAACCCAATAGGCTAATGAGAATATTTAGAATTTTATGACAACTTTAATTGAAATTTGATTTGGATCAAAATAATTAGAATGAATTGATTGAATTAGTTAGAATTAATTAATCTTAACCACATTTGATTAGGCTAACCTAATCACACCCTATATAAGACTCTAATTAAGCTTATAGGCTCATTTTCATAACACTTAGCTTAGAATTGAGAGAGAGGAGAGGAGAGTTCAACATCTAGAGAGAGAAAGGGGAGAATTGTGGAAGCTTGACGGATTGGAGCTATAATACACTTGAATTCACACATTAGGTATGAGATTCATCATAAATTCTTAGAATTGAATCATGTAGAAACTAAATTCATAGAGTTATAGGATCATTTGGTTGAATTTGAATAGGTTGAGCATGAGTTGTTATGAATAGGATGAATTGGAGTTGAATTATACACATGCATGCATAATTTGAGTTAGAATTCAAGAAATTCCTACATGCATGGCACATTTACACCTTAATTTGGAGAATCCTTCATGTTTTCATGCCTCTCATGTCACTTGATCATGTTTTGAAGAAATGTATACTCAAATTGAGTTAAACTTATTTTATAAATTGAGGTTGTAGTCGTTGGTTGGGAAATTACCATAATTTTGAATAAATGGGTTCAAATTGGAAGTGTTTTCATGTTATATAGTGATTCTCCATGTTTTTATACCAAAAACACAATATTTGAAGCTTTGAGTACCATGTTTGAACTTCAAACACAATTCTGGAAATTCTAGAATTCATGTTGTCCACTCGAGCGAGGGAAGCCACGCTCGAGCGTAGAATTCGGGCTTCCAGAAGTTTATCAAATTTTACAGTCCGCTCGAGCGACCAAAGTGGCGCTCGAGCGAGGACCTTTTTTCTCAGTCTTTCGCTTGAGCGACCATCGAGCGGGAATTTCATGTATCCAGTACTTTTACAGATTGCTCGAGCGACAGAAGTTACGCTCGAGCGATCACCTTTGTTTTTGAACCCTCGCTCGAGCGTAGAAAGTTGTGCTCGAACGGAGACCTTGTTTTCAGCAAAATTTTACCAACTCTTTCAAGTGTATATTTGCATCCTCATACCACTCCAAGCATTCTTAGGCACCATTTGGACTCCGATAATCATACAATAAGTTAGAGGCGCATAAAGTGAATTGAATTAAAATGAAATGGAGTTTCATTTGTATTTTGTTATGTGCTTCGTTTAGGTGGATGTTCGAGGCTTAGTGTCACCGCGAACCACTGTGAGTAATAACCTTATAAAGATATGTTCAAATTATCTTTACTTTCGAAAATGCTATTGCTATCAAAATGGATATGTGATTGCTTGAATGAATTCTTAAAATGATTTGATAATTGATAGCATGGTTTATTGAAATGTTATGTCCTCTAATGAATGAAGTTCTGTTTTGAAACGATATTGTGGCATCCATTGAATGTAGGCCCTTGGCTGGGGGTAATAGTACCATGGCTAGGCCCTTGCCTGGGGGTAACAATACCATGGCTAAGCCCTTGCCTAGGGATAATAGTACCATGGCTAGGCCCTTACTTGGGGGTAACAATACCATGGCTAGGCCCTTGCCTGGAAGTAATAGTACCATGGCTAGGCCCTTGCTTGGAAGTAATAGTACCATGGCTAGGCCCTTGCTTGGAAGTAATAGTACCGTGGCTAGGCCCTTGCCTGGGGGTAACAATAGCCATGCCTGGGGGTAACAATACCATGGCTAGGCCCTTGCCTGGGGGTAATTATACCATGGCTAGGCCCTTGCCTGGGGGTAACAATACCATGGCCAATATGATTCGTTATCATTGTAATATTATTTGTCACTTCATGGATGTACCACATATAACGTTACGAATGGCTTTTGTTACTGTAAAGAGATGATATTATTGCTAATCGAAATGTTTTGTTGTGAATATGATCTAATGTGGCAAATGCCTCCATTTGAAAATGATTTAAGATTCATTTCGAAATTGTAAGACATGTTTTTGTACTATTGTTGAACTTCATTCATTTAACCTCTTTATTATGTTATTACTCATTGGGCTCTAGCTCACTATTTATTTATATATGGAATTATAGGTGGGCAAACTGAACATCAGAGTTAGATAGCCTTGAGTTTACCCAGGTCAGCCTTTTGTGGAGCTTCCAAGTGAAGTAATTAGGCTTGGGTGAAGCCATGCTTGTCGAACCCTTTTGTGTGGTTTAATGGTTTTGTATCTGTACATAGTTGGGGTTGTATTTTATAAGATATGAATTTGTACTTATGTTGGATGTAACTTTGAAACAAAACCTTGCTTATCATATATGCTCTCCTCATATATGCACGGCTCAATGGATGAATTCTATGACATTTTAGACTTCCGCTAAGCCCCATACTTTACATTAAAGGTTTATTTGTATGGAGGCCGTAGGTAATCTACGATTACTGGCCGGTTATGATGCTAAACCTATAGGGGCGGGTTTGGGTCGTGATAGAGTGGTATCAGAGCACAGGTTATATCTCACTCACTTGTCCATTGAGCTATAGAGGGTCTAGAAGAGACTTCAGAAATGCATTCATGTGCATTTGATATGTTGAGTGAGATAACCTTGTGATTATATGTGCAACTGCGTACATGACTATATGTATATAGATATATATATTGTGTTTGTTATAATACAAAGTTTCATATAGAAAATGGTGAGAACCAGAGGTGATGAAATAGAGGAGGCAACCTCTTCAAGACTGGATAGAATGGAACGAATGATGTAAGACATGGCTGAAGCCATAAGACAACAACAACAATGGCAACAACAACAACCACCACCTCCCCCACGTCCAATGCTTGTACCACCTCTAGCTCCAGGGTGTCAGCTGGAGACCTGTACTATTGCCTTGACTAGGGAATTTAAAAAGATGAAGCCACCTGTGTTTCATGGCGAAATTGAACCGTTGAAGGCCGAAGCTTGGGTCTTGGGCATTGAAAAGTTGTTTGAAGTATTCCCATGTATCGAAACTCAAAAAGTACAACTAGTAGCCTTCACCCTAGAAGATGATGCCAGACGTTGGTGGATGTTAGTGCGAGACGATAATAAGGATGTTACTTGGGCTCGTTTTTTGGAAATCTTCTACGAGAAATATTTTCCCTAATGTGTGTGGGATAGAAAGACAGTTGAATTCATGGAACTCAAGTAGGGAAATAAATCAATTGCTGAATATAAGGCTCATTTTACAGAATTAGCTCGCTTTGCACCCCACATGGTAGATACAGATTACAAGAAGGCTAGACAGTTTGAAGGAGGTTTACGTGACCCAATTCTAGATAAAATTAATGTACTCAAATTGCCGACGTATGTGGATGTACTTGATAGGGCACTAACAGTGGAGAGAAATGTGGCCAGCCATAAACAAAACTTCGAATGGAAAGGCAGAAAACAAAATTTTAATACGGGAACTATGTCAATGAATAAGAAGTTCAAGTCGGGGAGTTCTGGTAATACTAGTTCAAGCCAAAGTGGTAATTCAACACCAGCTTGTACTACATGTGGAAAGAAACATGGAGGTGTATGCTATTGTGCGACAGAGGCTTGTTATCATTGTAAGAAGTTTGGGCACATTGCCAAGGATTGTACACAACCACGTCAGAGTGGCAACCGAGGTGCGACAAGCTCGATTAGGTCAACTTCCACAACAAAACCAGTTGCAGCATCAACTGCCACAAGAAATGATCAAAGGCAAGAAAGGGTTTTTGCATTGATTCCAGGGGACACTCAAAATACTGAGGCCGTAGTGTCAGGTACAATCTCCATTTGTGGTAAACCTGCTTATACTTTAATTGATTCCAGGTCTACACACTCATTTATTTCTACGGTCTTTGCTGAAACTTTGAATAGACCTATGGAAATATTGAGTTATATACTATGTGTTACATCACCTACGAGGGAATCCATGCTATGTTCAACTGTATTTATGGCATGTGATTTATTTCTCGGGAATGCCACTTTGTATGCTGATTTAATACCTTTAGACATGGGACATTTTGATGTTATTATGGGTATGGATTAGCTAGCTAAATACCATACAACTATTGATTGTGGCTTGAAACGAGTAATATTCCGACCTCCTGGGCAAGAGGAATTTTATTTTGAAGGAAAAGGGGTAGTCTCACCACCATACCTTATATCTGCCATGAAAGCCCGAAAACTAACGAATAAGGGTTGTCAAGGGTATTTATGTAGTGTGATAACCGAACCAATGGTAGACATTACTTTAGACAATATACCAGTGGTGAGAGATTTTCCTGATGTGTTTTCGGATGAATTACCTGGCCAACTTGTTGATAGAGAGATCGAATTCACAATTGATGTAATACCAGGAACTCAACCAATTTCTAAAACTCCCTACCATATGTCTACCACTAAAATAAAAGAATTGAAAATTCAGTTGTAGGAATTGTTGGATAAAGGATTTATCAGACCAAGTACATCCCCATGGGACGCACCGGTACTTTTTGTTAAAAAGAAAGACGGCACTCTTCGATTATGCATTGATTACCGAGAGCTCAACAAGGTAACAGTGAAAAATAAATACCCTTTGCCGCGTATTGATGACCTGTTTGACTAGTTGCAGGGGGCACATATATTTTCAAAAATTGACTTGAGATCGGGATATCATCAATTGAAGGTTAAGGCTGAGGATGTTGAAAAGGCTGCCTTCCGAACCAAGTATGGACATTATGAGTTTTTAGTCATGCCATTTGGAGTTACAAATGCGCCTGCAGCATTTATGGATTTAATGAACATAATTTTCAAACCTTTCCTAGATGACTTTGTTGTTATATTCATTGATGACATCCTGATATATTCAAAAAGTAAAGATAAGCATGAACGACATTTGAAACTGACTCTTTATAAAAATGAGAATTTTGGCTTGATGAAATTGTATTTTTGGGGCACATCATTAATAAGTATGGTATATCTGTGGCTCCTCATAAAATTGAAGCTATTATTAATTAGCCTACCCCAACTAATGTATCAAAAGTTCGTAGTTTTTTGGGATTGGCAGGGTATTACCGGAGATTCGTTAAAGACTTTTCAAAAATTGCTGTGCCATTGACTCAGTTGACTCAAAAAGGGGAACTATTTGAGTGGACGGATCAGAGAGAAACAATCTTTCAAGAGTTGAAGACAAGACTGACTATAGCCCTAATCCTTACTATTCCCTCAGGTACCGAAGATTTTGTGATTTTTAGTGATGCATCCTATAAGGGCTTGGGTTGTGTTTTAATGCAGAATGGCAAGGTTATTGCATATACCTCTCGACAATTGAGACCACATGAAAAGAACTACCCTACAAACGACCTAGAACTTGCTGTAGTGGTGTTTGCATTAAAGATATAGCATCACTATTTGTATGGAGCCAAATGTGAAGTGTATATAGATTATAAGAGCCTGAAATACCTTTTTACTCAGAAGGAACTGAACACGCGTCAAAGGCGATAGCTTGAATTAATCAAAGATTATGACTTACATATTCAATATCATCCAAGTAAAGCCAATACTGTAGCAAATGCACTTAGTAGAAAGAATGTGGGGAATCTTGCCTGTTTGCTCACAAATCAAAGAGAACTGTTACTGGAGTTTGAAAAACTCGAAATTGAAGTAGTGCCTTGTAACAACCCCGACCCTTAATTAATGTTAATTCATGCTTAAGCGTGCCTAGCAAGTAATTAAGAAGAAATCATGGGTTAATTACATGTGCATTGTATTATTGATGTGTCATTGTCTGTTTAGTGTAGCAAGATCTGTTCATTTTTTAGTTTCGACTTGCGAATTGAAGGCCTTATCGGCATACGATATAGAAATCGATTTGATTTATGTGTTAAGTAGAATTTTTAGGACTTTTTGGTAGGTTCAATTAAAATTCGTTTCGGAACAATTAAATAAGATTAATTTAATTCCACTTAATTGCTTATGACCTTATCTAAATAAACACCATTTCTTTGAGCCCACTCACCTCCTTTCATCCACTTGCATACACCTTTAAGCCCTTTTCTACATCAAAAACGTGAGAGTGAGAGAGAGTGAGGGAAAGAAATTGAGACCAAGCTTGAAATTGGGTGAAATTGCTAGGAAAACTTGGAAGATCACTCAAGACCATCTCTAGCATAAGGAATTGAGAACCTTAGGTAAGAATGTTAATCTCTAGCTTTGTAATTTGGTTGATTAGAGCATGAAATTAATTGTGTTAGGTGGATTAACATGAAAATTGTGCTAAAGGAATGGAATTAAGAATGAATTCATGCATGCATGTGCATTTGAATGCATTGAGAACATGTTGCTAGGAAATTCCTTCTTGCATGTTTGAAATTCACCTCCGTTTAAGGAAATCATCAAGTTTCAAATTGTTTTATGGCACTTGATCATGTTTTGTGAAGCTCAAGATTAAGGAAGTCCACGCATGTTATGTTCTTGAATCATTCCTAAAATTTAAGTTGAAATTGTGTTCAATTGGCATCTTTCGGCCATGATTTCTTGTAATGATCTTTAATTTATGTTGTTTTAAAGGTCTCTATGTACTTTCTCAAGTTTTGGCCCAGAAAAATGAGGTTTGGAGCTTTAAAAGTTGAGTTTGAGCTTGAAGATAAAATCTGGAAATTCCAGAAATTTGATCCACGCTCGAGCAGGAGAACTTCACGCTTGAGTGGACACTCTGAGTACATGCACTCCCGCTCGAGTGACGTGAGTCATGCTCAAGCGTGAAATGCATATACCCAGAAGTTCATATGTTTTGCAGTCCGCTCGAGCGAGGTAATTCACATTCGACCGTAGGTCTAAGTCTCACGCTCGAGCGGGGATCGGGCGTCCATCGAGTGTGAAAAACATGCAACCAGTACTTTTTCCAAGTTTACAGTCCGCTCGAGCGAACCTTCACATCTTGCATGTCCGCTCGAGCGGGGAAAGACACGCTTGAGCGTGGACCTTATTTTCAACAAAATTTGGGAAATGTTTTCAAGTGCATTTTTGCATCCTCATTCCATCCTAGGCATTCCTAGGCCATGAATAAGACCCCATAATGAGGATAATGATGTAGGTACACACCAGAACAAGAAAGAACCAAGTTATCATTTACGAGTGTGTAATTCTGGATATGTTCGTTTTGTAACTATGTAGGTCAAGTGCCACAGGAAAGTTGAATTGCCTCCTTACGACGCCTAATATCTATGAGTAATAACTTAGTAAAGCTATGTTCAAATCTATGTATTTTCTATATATGAAATAAGATCTATTGAAGGAAAAGCCATGTTTATTACTATAAATGATTGTCTGACGTAAAACGCAATTATGATGCCATGCTATGATTCAAGTATGTTATAAGTGACATGATATTATGATGCAAGTATGCTATAAGTTCCCGGACCGGAGGTTCCTATGGAACTGACAAGCTATCTGTATCCGGCTGGAGGTTCCTAGGTGGAACTAACAAGTATGAAGGTTCCCAGACCAGAGGTCCCTATATGGGACTGACAAGTTATCTTTACCCGGCCAGAGGTTCTTCCATAGAACTGACAAGTAAAAATTTAAGCCACTCTGTGTGAGATCTACTTGTACCAATGAACGTATGTGAAAGATTAAGTATGAATTCTGACTTTTGTCTACATGCTCAGAACAAGAAAATGAACGTGAATTGTTTTATTTCAGCTACGATATTGAGACATCATTCATATACCCCTTTACTCTATTATTATTCACTGGGCCTCCGTTCACTAGTTATTTATTATGTATGTAGGTGAGCAGGTTCGTGAACAGGCCTGAGTTGATACTTGAGGTTTTTTTTTGTGTTGTCAACCACCCTTCGCGCCTCACGAGGAGGTTCCAGATCATGTCATGTTTGTGGCTATGTGAATGTTAATGTTCAAGACTGATCCTTTTGTTTCTTTGAACAAGCTTCCCTTTTGTATGTATTTACTAGTGACGTGTAAATACTGTATCTATGACGTCACCCATACATCTATAAAATTTTAAAGTTATCAGTCTCATGTATGTCTGCACAGCTCGATGGACTATGTATATTTTATGTATTTGCTTCCGCAGCCCCTGACTATATGTTATAATGCTAAGAGGCCTTTGGTAATCCAAGGATTACTGGCCAGTTACGTCACTGAACCCATAGGGGCGGGTTCGGGTCGTGACAGAGTGGTATCAGAGCATGTGTTATACCACACGCACGAGTCCATAAGAGCTATAGGATGTCCTAGAAAGAAGTAGGGACATATCATCAGCATGTGTAAATGAGTAATGATCCATATGGATATGAGAACTGGATTTAAATCTGAATAAGTAAAGTTAAAGGAAGTAAACGGGATTATGCCCATGCTTATTATTACCTAGTGTCTATATAGCAGCATGGATAATGCAAGGGGAAGAGATGTAAGTGAGTCTTCTGAGGCTCACATGAGTGAATAGAGCAAATGCTTGTAACCTTAACAGAAGCAATGGCACAACAACAGAGGCAACAACCCTTACCTCCACCGCCTCTGCTAGTACAAGTTGAATCGAACAACCATGACATAATTAACTTGACTCAGAAATTTATGAAGATGGAGCCGCCGACTTTCTTGGGTGGCATAGAACCATTAAAGGCAGAAACCTGGCTGCTAGAAATGGAAAAATTGTTTGAAGTATTCCCCTGCTCTGCAACCGAGAAGGTGCTCTTGGCCACCTACATCTTAAAGGATGAGGCCCGAAGATGGTGGCTGTTAGTTCGAAACAACAACGGGGATATGACATGGGCGCAGTTTAATGAGATATTCTACAACAAGTACTTTCCCCAATGTTTTAGGGATCGAAAGGTGTTAGAATTCCAAGAACTTAAGCAGGGTAGGATGTCTGTAGCTAAGTATGAAGCCAAATTCACCGAACTAGCTTGGTTTGCTCCACATATGGTGGATACTGATTACAAGAAAGCATGGAAATTTGAAGGTGGGCTGGATCTAGAAGTGTTCGATCGAGTAGGCGTATTGAAATTGCCTACCTATGTAGAAGTTTTGGACAGAGCAATAATGGCAGAGGCCACAATAGCAGCAATGAAACAAGCCAAAACACCAACAACAGAATGGAAAAGTAAGAGGCATGGATCTAACTTTCGGAGGGGTTGCTCTTTCTCCATGAACAAAAAGCAAAATACTGGGTCTTCGAGCAGCTTAAGCCAGAGTAGCGGATCTATACCAGTTTGTTCAGAGTGTGGAAGAAAGTACAAAGGCATATGTCAACGTGCTTCGGGCGCGTGTTTCGGATGTGGCACAACTGGTCACATGATTAGAGACTGTCCAATGAGGTTTGCCAATGTTAACCACCCAGCAGCAAGTTCAGCCGGATCTGTTCCTGTGACAAGGGCTAATACTAGAACAAATGCCAGAGGTAATGCTGGCACTGAGACACTAAGGCAAAGGAGAGTGTTTTCACTCATGCTTGGAGATGTACAGAATACCAAAACAGTGGTGTCAGGTATAATTCCTATCTGTGCTCAGAACGCCTATGTACTGATTGATTATGGTTCTACACATTCATTTGTCTCGCATGCTTTTTCTTGGAAATTAACTAGACCGATAGAATCTGTGAAATGTTTGTTATCTGTGTCTACACCATCAGGGAGTTCTATGATGTGTGCTTATGTTTACTCAGCATGTGATGTTGTAATCAGTGATGTGACATTATATGTGGACTTGTTACCTTTGAACATTGATCATTTTGACTGTATTCTGGGTATGGATTGGCTGACTAAATATTGTGCTACTATTGATTATGTGAATAAAACCATCATGTTTAAACCACCTAGTATGCCTGAGTTTACTTTCACTAGGAATGGGGTAGTTCCTCCGCCATACTTGATTTCATTCATGAAAGTCAAGAAGTTGTTAAGAAAAGGTTGCCGGGGCTACTTGTGTTGCGCATTGATTGAGTCTTTAGGTGGTGCCAGTATAGAAACCATTCCTGTGGTTAGTGATTTTCCTGATGTTTTTCCCAATGATTTACTTGGGGACTTAATCGATAGGGAAATTGAATTCACTATTGACGTAACACCTGGAACTCAACCTATTTCCAAGACTCCTTACAGGATGTTGACTACAGAATTAAAAGAGTTGAAGGTTCAACTCCAAGAACTTTTAGACAAGAAGTTTATCCGTCCGAGTACCTCACCTTGGGGTGCTCCGGTGTTGTTGGTTAAAAAGAAAGATAGATCTTTGAGGCTATGTATTGACTATCGTGAGTTGAACAAAGTGACCGTCAAGAACAAGTACCCCCTGCCCTGAATTGATGATTTGTTTGACCAACTTTAAGGAGCCCTAGTTTTTCTAAGATTGACCTTAGATCCAGGTACCACCAGTTGAAAGTCAAGGCAGAAGATGTAGAGAAAACCACATTCAAAACTAGATATGGGCATTATGAATTCTTAGTCATGCCATTTGGGGTAACCAATGCACCTGCTGCCTTTATGGGCCTTATGAATAGAGTATTCAAACAATTTCTGGATGAATTTATTGTTGTTTTTGTTGATGATATATTGATATACTCAAAAAGCAAGGAAGAACATGAAAATCATTTGAGAACTACCTTACAGATTCTAAGAGAAAAGAAATTGTATGCAAAACTATCCAAGTGTGAGTTCTGGCTGGACAGTGTAGCCTTTTTGGGCCATGTAATCAACCGGGATGGTGTATCAGTGGACCCACAAAAAATTGAAGCCATTGTTGATTGGCCAAGACCAACCAATGTATCCGAAGTTAGAAGCTTTCTGGGGCTTGCAGGTTACTACAGAAGGTTTGTGAAAGACTTTGCGAAACTGGCTATGCCAATGACCCAGTTAACTCAGAAAAACGTTCCATTTGATTGGAATGATCAGAGAGAGTCTGCGTTTCAAGAGTTGAAAACTAGGCTGGTAACTGCACCGATTTTGACCTTGCCCAATGGAACTGAGGGGTTTCAGATTTACAGTGATGCGTCCCACAAAGGCTTGGGCTGTCTACTGATGCAAAGTGGGAAGGTAATTGCCTATGCTTCTCGACAGCTCCAACCACATGAAAAGAATTACCTGACTCGTGATCTTGAACTAGCAGCTGTGATGTTTGCTTTGAAAATCTGGCGTCACTATTTGTATGGGGTAACTAGTGAGGTGTACACTGACCATAAAAGTTTGAAATACTTCTTCACTCAAAAAGAATTAAACATAAGACAGAGGAGATGATTAAAGCTGATCAAAGACTATGATTTACAAATTTTATATCACCCAGGCAAAGCTAACACTGTAGCAGATGCCTTGAGCTGGAAATCAGTAGGAAATTTGTGATGTTTTCTTACCGATCAGAGGGAATTGTTATATGACCTGGAAAAGAATGAAATCGAAATTGTGATACGTGAACAAGATGGGATCCTAGTTGCCATTTCTGCCCAACCTGTGATCATTGAAGAAATCAAAGAAAAGCAAATTGAAGATGAGTTCCTGAAAAAGATCATGGATGAAATTGACTCAAAACCAAGGCCCGGATTTATTCTTGAGAACAATGTATTGAAATTTTGGAACCGCCTTTGTGTACCAGATTGTTGTGACTTGAGAAAACGTGTTATGTCTGAAGCTCACAGTTCGAGATTTGCCATGTATCCCGGGAACATGAAAATGTACCACGATTTGAAACAGAACTTCTGGTGGCCTGGAATGAAAAAGTGTATTGCAGATTTTGTGGCTAGGTGTTTACATTGCCAACAAGTTAAAGTTGAACATCAACGACCCGCTGGTTTGTTACAGCCGCTTCCAATACTGGAATGGCACATTACCATGGACTTCATTGTGGGTTTGCCTCGCTCTTCTCGAGGTATGGACTCTATCTGGGTTATAGTTGATCTGGGTTATAGTTGATCATTTGACTAAATCTGCCCATTTTCTACCTCTTAAATCTATTTACAATCCTGACAAATTGGCCAACATCAACATAAATGAGATTGTGAGATTGCATGGGGTGCCAGTATCTATTGTATTTGACAGGGATTCAAAGTTTGTGTCAAGATTTTGGCAGAGTTTACAACAGGCCTTGGGGATAGAACTGAGACTGAGTAGCGCGCCTATCATCCACAGACAGACAGTCAAACTGAACGAACCAATCAAACCTTGGAAGATATGCTCAGAATGTGTATGTTGGACTTCCAAGGAAATTGGGAGACCTACCTTCCTCTAGCTGAGTTTGTGTACAATAACCGCTCCCATTCAAGTATTGAAATGGCTCCTTATGAAGCTCTCTATGGAAGAAAATGCTGTTCTCCTATTTGTTGGGCAGAAGTTGGGGATAGGCCATTTTTGGGCCCAGAACTTGTGCAAGAAACGGCTGAGAAAGTGAATCTGATTCAGCAACGTCTGAAAACTGCACAAAGCCACCAAATGAGTTATGCTGATGTTCGAAGAAGAGACAGGGAATATGAAGTCGGGGATTACGTATTTGTCAAAGTAACTCCGATGAAAGGCCAAACGCGGTTTGAGGTGAAAGGCAAGTTGGCACCAAGATACGTTGGGCCATATGAAATTCTGGAGAAGATCAATGCAGTAACCTATCGAGTGGCCCTACCTCCGGTAGTGGAGCATATGCACAATGTTTTTCACGTATCTATGCTTCAGGGGTATTTGAGAGATCCATTTCATGTGATAGAACCAACTCATGTACTTTTAAAGGATGATTATACCTATGAGGAAAGGCCAATGCAAATTGTGAACCATCGGATCAAAAGATTGAGGAACAAAGAAATCCCTTTGGTAAAGGTTGATTGGCAGAATCATGGAAGAACTTATGCACCTTGGGAGACAGAAGAAGACATGATGAAAAGATACCCTGAACTATTTCCTTTAAATCCAGTGTTCTTCCAAAATGAAGGTAACTCGAGTTTGGAGGACCAAACTCTTTAAGGGGGGAAAACTGTAACAACCCCGACCCTTAATTAACGTTAATTCATGCTTAAGCATGCCTAGCAAGTAATTAAGAAGAAATCATGGGATAATTACATGTGCATTGCATTATTGATGTGTCCCTATCTGTTTAGCATAGCAAGATCTGTTTATGTTTTAGTTTCGATTTGTGAATTGAAGGCCTTATCGGCATACGATACAAAAATCGATTTGATTTATGTTGTTAAGTAAAATTTTTAGGACTTTTTGGTAGGTTCAATTAAAATTCGTTTCGGAACGATTAAATAAGATTAATTTAATTCCACTTAATTGCTTATGACCTTATCTAAATAAACACCATTTCTTTGAGCCCACTCACCTCCTTTCATCCACTTGCATACATCCTTGAGCCCTTTTCTACATCAAAAACGTGAGAGGGAGAGAGAGTGGGGGAAAAAAATTGAGACCGAGCTTGAAATTGGATGAAATTGCTAGGAAAACTTGGAAGATCACTCAAGACCATCTCTAGCATAAGGAATTGAGAACCTTAGGTAAGAATGTTAATCTCTAGCTTTGTCATTTGGTTGATTAGAGCATGAAATTAATTGTGTTAGGTGGATTAACATGAAAATTGTGCTAAAGGAATGGAATTAAGAATGAATTCATGCATGCATGTGCATTTGAATGCATTGAGAGCATGTTGCTAGGAAATTCCTTCTTGCATGTTTGAAATTCACCTCCATTTAGGGAAATCATCAAGTTTCAAATTGTTTTATGGCACTTGATCATGTTTTGTGAAGCTCAAGATTAAGGGAGTCCACGCATGTTATGTTCTTGAACCATTCCTACAATTTAAGTTGAAATTGTGTTCAATTGGCATGTCTTTCGGCCATGATTTCTTGTAATGATCTTTAATTTATGTTGTTTTAAAGGTCTTTATGTACTTTCTCAAGTTTTGGCCCAGAAAAATGAGGTTTGGAGCTTTAAAAGTTAAGTTTGAGCTTGAAGATCAAATCTGGAAATTCCAGAAATTTGATCCACGCTCGAGCGGGGGACTTCACGCTCGAGTGGACACTCTGAGTACATGCACTCTCGCTCGAGTGGCGTGAGTCACGCTCGAGTGTGAAATGCATATACCCAGAAGTTCATATGTTTTGCAGTCCGCTCGAGCGAGGTAATTCACGCTCGAGCGTAGGCCTGAGTCTCACGCTCGAGCAGGGATTGGGCATCCATCGAGCGTGAAAAACATGCAACCAATACTTTTTCCAAGTTTACAGACTGCTCGAGCGGAGAAAGTCACACTCGAGCGGGAAAAGACACGCTCGAGCGTGGACCTTATTTTCAGCAAAATTTGGGAAATGTTTTCAAGTGCATTTTTGCATCCTCATTCCATCCTAGGCATTCCTAGGCCATGAATAAGACCCCATAATGAGGATAATAATGTAGGTACACACCAGAACAAGAAAGGACCAAGTTATCATTTACGGGTGTGTAATTCTGGATATGTTCGTTTTGTAACTATGTAGGTCAAGTGCCACAGGAAAGTTGAATTGCCTACTTACGACGCCTAATATCTGTGAGTAATAACTTAGTAAAGCTATGTTCAAATCTATGTATTTTCTATATATGAAATAAGATCTGTTGAAGGAAAAGCCATGTTTATTACTATGAATGATTGTCCGACATAAAAAGCAATTATGATGCCATGCTATGATTCAAGTATGTTGCAAGTGATGTATGCTACGATTCAAGTATGTTATAAGTGACATGATAGTATGATGCAAGTATGCTATAAGTTCCCAGACTGGAGGTTCTTATGGAACTGACAAGTTATCTGTACCTGGCTGGAGGTTCCTAGGTGGAACTGACAAGTATGCAGGTTCCCAGACTGGAGGTCCCTATATGGGACTGACAAGTTATCTTTACCCGGTCGGAAGTTCTTCCATAGAACTGACAAGTAAAAATTTAAGCCACTCTGTGTGAGATCTACTTGTACCAATGAACGTATGTGAAAGATTAAGTATGAATTCTGACTTTAGTCTACATGCTCAGAACAAGAAAATGAACGTGAATTGTTTTATTTCAGTTACGATATTGAGACATCATTCATATACCCCTTTACTCTGTTATTATTCACTGGGCCTCTGCTCGCTAGTTATTTATTATGTACGTAAGTGAGCAGGTTCGTGAACAGGCCTGAGTTGATGCCTGAGGTTTTTTTTTTGTGTTGTTAGCCACCCTTTGCGCCTCACGAGGAGGTTCCAGATCATGTCATGTTTGTGGCTATGTGAATGTTAATGTTCAAGACTGATCCTTTTGTTTCTTTGAACAAGTTTCCCTTTTGTATGTACTTACTAGTGATGTCACCTGTACATCTATAAAAGTTTAAAGTTATCAGTCTCATGTATGTCTGCACAGCTCGATGGACTATGTATATTCTATGTATTTGCTTCCGCAGCCCCTGACTATATGTTATTATGCTAAGAGGCCTTCGGTAATCCAAGGATTACTGGCCGGTTACGTCACTGAACCCATAGGGGCGGGTTCGGGCCGTGACATGCCTTTTGAACAAAGTAGCTTGATGGTTGCAATTTCTGCCTAGCCTGCTGTTATCGAGGAAATTAAAGAGAAATAGATGAATGATGAGTTTTTGAAAAAGATTCGTGATGAACTTGACACCAAGCCTAGATCGGGGTTCTCGTATTGAAATATCAGGGGAGGTTGTGTGTCCCGAATGATGCGGATTTGAAAAGGAAAATTTTGGAGGAAGCTCACAAGTCAATGTTTACTATGCATCCAGGAAACACCAAAATGTACCAAGACTTGAAGTTAGTGTATTGGTGGCCCAACATGAAAAGGGAGATTGCCGACTTCAACTCTAAATGCTTACAATGCCAACAGGTAAAAGCAGAACATCAGAAACCAGTAGGTTTGCTTTAGCCTCTTCCTATTCCGGAATGGAAATGGGAACATATCACCATGGACTTTGTTGTTGGCTTACCTCGGACACCTAAAGGTATGGACTTTATTTGGGTTATAGTTGATAGATTGACTAAATCTGCTCATTTTCTTGCTGTAAAGATTTTATTTACTGCTTATAGACTTGCTACTATCTACATTGATGAGATTATTCGACTGCATGGGGTTCCAGTGTCTATTGTATCAGATAGGGATCCTAAATTTGTTTCTAGATTTTGGCATAGTTTGCAGGAGGCAATGGGAACAGAATTGAGATTTAGTACAGCATTTTATCCGCAAACCAATGGGCAAAACGAGAGAACTATTCAGACCTTAGAAGACATGCTTCGTATGTGTGTATTGGATTTTCAGGGAAGTTGGGAAACTTATTTTCCATTGGCCAAATTTGTTTATAATAACAGTTTTCACGCGAGTATTGGTATGGCACCATATGAGGCACTATATGGCAGAAAGTGTAGATCGCCAGTTTGTGGGACAGAGGTTGGTGATAGAGCTACTTATGGGACTGAACTTGTGCAGGAAACGATTGAAAAGATCAAAATCATCCAGTAAAGGCTCAAAACTGCACAGAGCCGACAGAAAAGCTACGTAGATCAGCGAAGAAGGGACTTAGAGTACGAAGTGGGAGATCATGTATTCATCAAGGTGACCCCAATGAAGGGGCATATGAGATTTGGTAAAAATGGAAAATTGACTCCTCGCTACATTGGACCGTTTCAGATCCTTGAGAGGTTGGGTCTTGTTGCTTATCGTATTGCCTTGCCACCGGGAATGGAACAAGTGCATAACGTTTTCCATGTATCCATGCATCGTGGGTATCTTAGAGATTCGTTCCATGTGATTGATTACACTGGATTGCTCTAGATGAGGATATGATGTATGAAGAATGGCTCGTGCAAATCATTGATCGGCAAGCAAACCAATTGAGAAACAAAACTATCCCCATAGTGAAGGTTGAGTAGAGAGAACATTAGGGGAAGGAGGCCACTTGAGAGAAAGAGGAAGAGATGCGGTAACGGTATTCGCATTTGTTTCCATCTGAAGGTAACTTAAGTTTGGAGAACCAAACTTTCTAAGAGGGAGAGACTGTGACAACCCTGACCTCCAAACTAGTACATATATGATTTAAATGAGTTTAGTTGCATCATGATTATGTGCTTAATTGTATGATTACATGTTTAATTCTATAATTATCTGTTGATATA